CTTCCTAACTCCCTCCCCCCCTCCCCACTTCCCTCCCTGCCTCTCCTCCATCCCTTCCTCTCCTACTGATGGCACGGTATGCTTGCATATGTGTGGGTATGTGGCCATGCACGTATGTGTGCAGGCCATTTATGGAGGGTACGGGTGCACACAGGGATGGTTCTGCACCTGCTGCTCCACACAGCCTCAGGCACGGTAAGGGCTTATTCAGTCGGCTCATTCCCAAGCCCAGCCGCATTTTGAGTCGGCTCAAAAATATGTTTCAAGTCAATTCGGGAATATGCACCTTCCTCCCTGTTTCTCCTTCTCCTCTGCTTAGTTCAGAAAGACGCGTCCTGCGTCCTGGACGCATGCGTCCAGACGCATGCGTCCAGACGCAGGACGCTGAACCTGGACCTGTGAGACGCACCAAAAGACGCAAGCCCGGGCAGGGCAAAAAAAACCCCCGGGCAGGCCAAAAAAAATTGTATAGGGCTTGGGAGAGGGGGGGGGGGGGTGTCATACCACAAAATGTTCCCCAGCCACAAAAATTTTCCCCAAAATATGAGATTAAGGTGAGTCACGTGTCACACATTTCACAAGGTCTCACACACATTACGTTTAGGAAGCCATAGCGGAGTTTAGGTGGTAAGCTAAGCTAAGACCTAAAACCTCTATGGGTTTACGAAAGAGAATTGGTGAGGGGAAAATGAGAAGCCACAAAAGGTTGCCATGCTAAATGTGCTTGGTGGTGGTGGGCTGGGCTACAAAGGTTGGGATTCGTAGATGCTAAGTGGTTGAGAGGTTTGAGTGAAATTCAATTTTGGTTGAGTTGTTAGGGAATGTTAGGGGGGCTGGTTTTGAATGGCGAATTAGGCTTAGGGTGGGGAAATTTCGCGATTTCGACATTCGCGTCGAAATCGCGAATGCCAAAATCGCGATCCGGGTTTTTTTTTCCGGGCAGCCCGAAAAAAATTTCGACGAGCGTCCTGCGTCCTAGCGTCCGGACGCTGCGTCCGGACGCAGGACGCTGCGTCCTATCTGCGTCTTTCCGAACTAAGCTCCTCTGTTGCTGCTGATGCCGTCACACCCCCTTCGCTGCTGCTTCTGCTGCTGCTGCTGCTGCTGCTCATCGTTCAACAGGCAATACATGTCTGTATATAACGATACCTTTACTTCTCGTCACCATAGGTCACTACTGCTACTGATCCCACCCCCTTCTCCCCACTCCCGTTCCGCTCCCCCTCTTCTCCCTTCCCTCCACCCCCTCGTCCCACAGGTGTGTGCACATGATCGCAACGTTCAGCGTGCAGAAGACAAAGGATGGCCCATGGGAGGACCTAGATCTACCCAATGAGTAAGAGTCGATTCATTCTCCGTGCTGCATGCTCCATGCTCCACTGAGTAAGAGTCCGTGCCTGTGCTCCCTCTGCTGTTCTTTCACACGCCTTGCTTGTCCATGCTCGCTGCTTCTCTCCCCTCCTTCCCGCTGCTTCCTCTCTGCTCTGCTGTCCATCCCCTTGCTCTCCTTCCCTTCAGCTTGCCCTCACTCCCTTTACTTCCATCACTTACTCCGTTTGCTTCCCCGTCCTCACTCCCTATGCTGCCCCTCCCTCACTCGCTTTACTTCCCCCTCCCTCACTTCTCAATCTTCCTCTCCTCCCTACCAACCGAGCCCCTCGGCTCCTTGTATTACCACCTCCATAATGACAAATTATGTACATACGCATTCACCCTTTGTCATGTACCTGCATGCTGATGCCAGTAGTGCTTCTAAGCCTGCCAGTTGATTACAAGAGTCAGCAACCCCTGTCACGTGCCTCTCCTTCCCACCTCTCCTGTCCCCTTTTCCCTCCTCTTTCCTCTCTCTCTTCCCCCTCTTCTATCCTTTCTCCTCTCTCCTCCTCTACCCTCCTCCCAGTCTGAGGGCGGTGGTGGTGCTGAACCTGCCAAGCTACGCAGGAGGCAGGAATCCCTGGGGAACTCCCTCTGCGGAGCTCAATGCTAAGGTGAGTGCGAGCAGGCTTGGTGAGTCGACTCAAAGTCACCTCAGCTATGCGGGAGGCAGGAGTCAGGAACCCCTGGGGCACACACACACCCTCTGGGGAACTCCCTCTGCGGAGCTCAATGCTAAGGTGAGTGCGAGCAGGCTTGGTGAGTCGACTCAAAGTCACCTCAGCTATGCGGGAGGCAGGAATCAGGAACCCCTGGGGCACACACACACCCTCTGGGGAACTCCCTCTGCGGAGCTCAATGCTAAGGTGAGTGCGAGCAGGCTTGGTGAGTCGACTCAAAGTCACCTCAGCTATGCGGGAGGCAGGAATCAGGAACCCCTGGGGCACACACACACCCTCTGGGGAACTCCCTCTGCGGAGCTCAATGCTAAGGTGAGTGCGAGGGGGAGGGGAGTGGGGAGGAAGGACGTGAAGAGTTGATTGAAGCAACGTCCGTCCTCTTTCTTATCGTTCTCTTTCGGAATCTCCAAAAGGCAATCATAATCATCACCGCCAATTCATTCACTCAACTCAAACACTTCCCTCGTCCCCTGTGCCCTTCATTCCACCGCCCCACACCTCCTCTCCCCCTCTCCCCCCCTCTCTCTCTCTCTCTCTCTCTCGCTCGTTCCCTTCCCAGGAGGGCTGGTCGCCTGCACGGCCGGACGATGGCATGCTGGAGGTGATAGGGCTCAGGGGCGGCTGGCACACCATGGCTGTCATGGGCAACATGGCCCGGGGCACCCGCATCGCACAGGTGCGTGCACCGTGCGCTCTCCCTCCCATTCCCTTGGGTTGGGACCCTGCTTCCACTCGCTCTCCCACCCCAGTTTCCCAGCCCTCCCATGCTCCCGTGCCCCCATGCTACCATGCTGCCATGCTCCTAGCCCTCCCTCCTGCTACTGTTTTTCATACCCACTTCCTGCCTGCTCCCCTCCCCTGCTTTCGCGCTCTCCCGCTCGCCGCTCAGCTCCCTGCATTCGCTTGCACTGCAACTTCCTCTATGCACAATTTCACAACCACCAACCTCCTCCCCCCTCCCCCTCCCACCTCTTCTCTCTCTGCCGTGCCTCCTCCTGAGTGATTTGTTACCATCCTCTCCCAACTTCTATTCATCCCCTTCGCCCCAATCCTCCTACTTTTCCCCCCTCCCATCCTTCCTCTGAAACTTGAGCATACCATCATTCCCTCACGGTCCTTCCCTTCTCTCACCCACCATCCTTCTCCCCCTCCCCCTACCCCACCCACCCTTCTCCGCCCTCCTCCTCCCCCCCCCAGGTGCATGGCATGCGCATAGCCCTGAGGGGCGAGCACAGGCGGCTGGCGTTTATGCAGATAGACGGAGAGCCATGGGAGCAGCCGCTCAGTGTGGACAGCCGCGAGCCCACCCACGTGGAGATCGTGCCGCGCCCCATCCAATCCGACATGGTCGCTCCCCCCTCCTGCCGCCTCTTTGCTGACGCTGCTGCTCCTGCGGAGTAAGGAGGCTTTCGGGTGACTCTGGATTCGGCATGTGTTTGAGGAGGGGGGAGAGGAGAGGGTGGGAGTGTGAGGGGTGGTTGGGAGAGGGGAGGGTACTGACCAGTCACAGGTGTGTGATAATGAAAAGGGCACTCCAATACCTACTGATGGTGCCTCTGTGGAGCAGCAGCAGCAGTAGGACCAGGAATGGCTGCAGCAACGTTGGCAGCACCAGCGCCACTAGTAGTGTAGCTAGCAGCTCCCTCAGCAGTGGAATCTGGAGGTCCCGTCCCGTCCCGTCCCGTCCCGCACAATGATTTATCATCTGGTCTCGTCTGGTCGCATCGCATGTCTTGTACGGTAGGAGACTACGGCAGTCTGGTCTGGTCGCAGGGTTTCGGGGTTACGGTAGGAGACCTTGGTAGATGACTGTGCTAGCAAATAGGGGGTTTAGGTTCGGTCTGGTTCGGTGGTGTAGAATGTGTGTTCTTTCTGATCTGGTCGCTTTGGTGGGGTGGGGGTGTAATTATTATACGCAGTAAAGGTTCTGCTCTGATCTGATCATGACATGCTAGGTTATAGGGTATGTGGATTGTGTAGTACAGTGTAGGCAACTGTTGATGGCAATTGTGGTTAATTCTATACGGATGCATGTTTTTCTTCATTCGGTGCTCTTTTGACTCAGCACCTAGTCACCGTACCCTAATTGATCAGTATGCGCTTGCACTGGAAACAACAGGTCCCTCTACGCCCTTGCACAACACAACCAAGCAAGCATCCATCTACTGTGCACATGTCCTGCGAGCTATACTTTCTCCACGCTAATATTTCTCTCTTTCTCGGCAGCCTGCCACCATCCCACTCACATGGACAGCTGTTTGCAGCACTAGGCTACAGTATCACTGAATGCAGTGCACTCAAAACCAGCCATATTAATACCGTTTGGTACCGTACCAGAATCCCACCATTCCCCATCCCATAAAGCGGACAACACAAATGCGGAAGGACTAATTCCTCCAGCTCACCATACTGTTCTGTTCCGGTTCGAGAGTTCATGCACACATCCACATCCACAACCACATCACACTCCTTGGGTTTGTATTGTAACCAAGTAGTTGTAATTCGCTGGTGTGCAACAACATTGCATCCCCTGGCTGCTGCAGGTTGTATGGAGCACCTGACACTGACGCTGCTTGGTGGTGTAGAGGCAGAAACGAGATGGCTTAAAACGAGCATCGGGGTGAACAGGTGCTGGAGAGAGGAGGAAGGAGGGAGGGGTGCAGGGAGGATGGGATTGGTGGCCTTTGTTCCGAGGTACCCGTAAATCATTGGTGGTGGTAGAGTCACAAGTGTATTCAGGGATGGATGGACTCAGGATTGGAGCGGCATAATGCAGGGAAAGCCGAACCCTCTGGGAAAGGGCTTGACGAGCAGAGTGCACATGGGGGGAGGATGGCGGGAGGGTGGTAGGTGGGAGGGGATGGGTGGAGTTACTGCTGCTGCTATGGCTTCTGCTGCGGTCGCTGCTGTTGCTGTGCCCTTGCGTACTGCTCAAACCTCTGCAGGTCACTCCTTAGCGTTGCCTGGCGGCGAGGGAGTAAGCACGACACAGCAAGCGACAGCGGGGAGGAGGGACAGAACGGAATCCAGCAAGCTTGGTCGGCAGGGTGATGGTAGTGCAGGGAGAGCAGAAGCAGGCATGAAGCAGGTAAGGAGGGCGCACGTGGGGAGGTGGATAAGTGGTAAGCACTAGCAAACGGCAAGAATTCGGCAGGCAGGCAAGTCACAACAACGAAAGTGTGACTTTGTACAAGAAACATAGCAACTGGACGAGAAAAAAACTTCCGGTCCTCAAACCCCTTCCATACCTCCAATGCTCCCACAAAACCCCTCCACTCCCACACACAACTACCCATGGTACCCAACCAGTGCGCATCCAGCAGCAAGAGCGCAGGCTAAATCGCGCGTTACTGATTGTTGAAGCGCATCGTCAGGTCAGAAGTCAAAAGCAGGGGGCATGTCATGTCATGTCATGTTATGTCATGTCAGGTTGCGCACCTGGATAAGAGCAGAGAGAGCCCGCTCACTCATGATCCGAGCCAGCGACCGCGGTAGCTGATGCCATATCTGTGCGTGTTGCCATGCCATGCGGTAACCATGCCATGCGGTAACCATGCCATGCAGTAACCATGCCATGCAATAACCATGCCATGCGGTAACCATGCCATGTAGTAACCATGCCATGTGGTAACCATGCCATGTAGTAACCATGCCATGCGGTAACCATGCCATGTAGTAACCATGCCATGTGGTATCCACACAATCCAGAAACACACGCACAAGGGGATGTCAGATAGTGAGTCTGGCTGCATAGCACAGTCAAGGGAGGAGCTGGCATGGAGGGCGGTATGGCATGGCATGCGACGAGATGAGATATAATGAGATGTGGTGAGATGGAGCCATGGTGGGCGGTATGGCATGGCATGCAAAGCGGTGAAGTGTGGTGAGCAGGGAGGCACATGGTACTGCATGCAGCAAGTGGGCATGTGGGCGTGTGGGCGCGTAGGCAGGAGGGTATTTGGGATTGCGAGCAATAAGTTCACAAGAGGCATATGAAGCGAAATGTCTTTGAGAAGAAGCAGCATGGCCAAGGCAGCGGATAAGGACGAGCACAGAGGCATAAGGCAGACAGAGTATGGCACTCACAAGCAGCTCCATCTGACTCCCTCTGCTGCTGCTCCTGCTTCTGCTGCTGCTGATGGCAGGGTTGCTGTTACTCCCTTCACCACTGCTGCTGCTGGAGCCCTCCCCCTCCTGTGCTGAGCTGGCAGCATCTCGTATGGTGACCTGTCCGCGGCACGGAATGCCCTCCACCGTCTGCCACGTCAGCACGCGGTCGGGCGGCGAATCACTTAGCCGCATTACACGGGCCGTCCAGGACACCTGCGGACAGAGTGGATGGAGGGGGTGACAGGCGTGGACGGAGAAATGTGAAGTGGACGAGGAGAAGGTGGGGTTTTAATTCGAGACATCTCAGAAGAGGATGTGTAGAAGGGGGGGGTATTTGCGTTGAGAGAGGGTGGATGCATGTGATGTGACGGAGGTGGTATGGGGAGGCAAGACAACAAGAGCAGAGCAGGGCTTGAATTCACTTTTGAGAGGTCTCAAAGGTGATTTCCCGGGCTTGAACTGAGTGGATGAGTGGCCGGATGGAATAGCTGGGAGGCAGATGGTGAATCAAAGGTACCTCAAAGCCAGTGGTGCAGCAGATCCATCTGGACAGCTGAATGCGGTGCTGCAGATCACCCCCTGCCTCTGCTGCTGCTGCTGCTCCTGCTGCTGCTGCTGCTCCTGCTGCTGCTGCTACTGCTGCTGCTCCTGCTGCTGCTGCTGCTGCTGCTGCTGCTGCTGCTCCTGCTGCTGCTGCTGCTCCTGCTGCTGCTGCTGCTGCTGCTGCTGCTGCCCCCGCTGCTCCTGCTCCTGCTCCTGCTTCTGATTCTGCTGTGGTTGTTCCTGACGCTAGGAGATCACTGCTGAGGTTATCCGCTGGTGAGTGCTCCAGGTGACCAGCAGGTAGCAACTCCACCCGTTGAATCCATTTCATCCTGCCACCATTCCCGCCCACCCACCCACCAACCCACCCACCCACAATGACCAGCCAACGGGCGAGGCAAGGTCTCAAAAGCGCATTGTGAAGAGCATCAATCCGAAGGCAAAAAACGCAAGGGACACACAACAGGAGCACACACACTCTTGCTAGCAATCACATCCCCACACACCCCTCCACCCACACACCCTTCGTTACCTCCTCTATTCTCCCTTCCTTCTTTCCCATTTCCCCACCCCCCATCACGTCTTCACTCCGCATCACTTCCCCCTTCCCCAACCCCCCCCGCTCCCACACCCCACTTCCCCTACTTGCCCTCGCCCACCGCCCTTACCACTTGGGAGCCTGTTCCAGGCCCACCCACAGCCGTACCTCTAAAGGCGCCTCAAAAGTCCAACCCCCCCTTTTTCCCCCCCCTCTCCCCTCCCCCCCACCCCACCCACGCTCACACACACCGCCCTTACCACTTGGGAGCCTGTTCCAAGTCCACCCACAGCTGCCACGCCACGTCAGCAGGCACTGATAGGTCCATCTCTACCCGATGGTCAAATTCCATGTCTCCCCAGTCCTCCACTCCGCTCCCTCCTCCCCCTCCCTCGCTCCCTCCTCCCGCTCCGCTGTCCTTCCCCGTCCCGCTCCCCCCCGCACCCATTCGACCCAGCGCAAACATACGAGATATTCCAGACATCTCTCCTTCCCCGTCTCCCTCCGCCGTTACTTCAACCTCTCCCCCTTTTCCCTCACCCTTCCCCTCATCCTTCCACTCGCCCTTCCCCATTCCAGCAGCCACCCCCGCCGCGTCCCCGGCACTGCCACTGCTCGCAGCGGCAAAAGCCGCGGCCACAGCAGCAGGAGACAACCTTCCTGCTGCTGCTACTGCTGCAGGTGCATGGGCAGGTGCATGCGCTGCCGCTGCTGCTGCCGCTGCTGCTCCTTCTGCTGCTGCAGCAGCGAAGCCACCTGAAGAGACGCCTGCGCGGCCTGGCGAGGCGGCAGCGGGCGCAGCAGCATGCGGGGAGCGCAGGGGGCGCGGGTGGAGGGCCTTCCGCGCGCCCCCCCCCTGCCGCCGCTGCCCTCCGCCTGTGGTGGACGGGGCATGGCGGTCTGGGGCGGGGGTGAGGGTGGGGGGGAGGAGGGAGAGGGACGGGGGACGGTCAAGGGGGGGTTGGGCAAGTGCGGTGTTGGCGTGATGGGTGAACGAGAGAGGCATGGCACCAACGGGGAGGAAGGGGTGGGCCGCGGGGGTGTCGGAAGTTGAGAATGTGGGAAATGGGGGGATGTGAAGGAGAGGAAACGAGGTGAGATCGTGGGAGAAAAAGCGAGAGTGGGTCCAGACAGGGGGAAGGGGAGAGGAGGAAGGGCAACGAGAGGGGGAAGGAGGAAGTGGGAGGGTGAAGCTGGGAGGGAGGGAAGGCGAGAGGGGTTGAGACGAAGAAGGACGGGTGGCACGTGGAAAAAGGCTTGACGAGTGAATTTAACCTAAGCGGCGCGGCGCACCTGCAGCGTCCGCCCGTCTCCCAGTGCTCGCTGTCACCCCCGCATGCGCCGCCGCGCCGGTGGGCGCTCGAGCGCCCGACCGCACGTACCGACTAGCTCTCCCCGCGCCCGCTCCGCTCGCATATCCCCCGCGCGCAGGCGCAGGAGCCGCGGCCGCCGCCGGCGCCGCATCGTCACGCCGCCGTGTCGTGTCGGACGGCGGCGCGTCCCTCAGCACGCGAACCGCTCTTCGGTGCGGACTGGTCGGCGCAACGCCGCCGCCGTTGCCGCCGCCGTCGCCGCCGTCGGTACGGTCGCCATCACTGTTGCGATCAACGCCAAGCGCGCCTGTATCCGCTGCCCCCGCCGCCGCTGTAACCGGGTCTCCTCGCGACCCTACCGCCGCTGCCGCCGCTTCAGCCGCTGAATCGTTAGCGGAAGCTGCTCCGCCGCCGCGCCTCCGCCGCCCTTGGGCGAGCGGAAATCCCGCGGGTTCGGAAGCGGAGGAAAGGTGGTCGAAACTGCCCGCGCGGACGGACACAACGCGGCGGAAGGATTGGCGCGGAAAAGCGGCGGCCGTAACCGCGCACTGGTGGAGGGGCAGCGGAAGCGGAAGCGGAAGCGGGAGCGGAAGCGGGAGCGGGGAGGAAAGTTGCTGAGGCGCCAGCGGCGTCATCCCTGCCGCTGCAATTGCTGTCGATGCTGCTGACGGTCTTCCTATACCCCCTACCACCTTTCTTCCTGCCGAACCCGCACTAGCTGCTGCTGCTGCTACTATTACTGCTGTTGCTGCTGATGGTGATAGTGCAGATGATGGCGGTTTTGCTGCTGCTGCTGCTGGTGTTAGCGGCAAAGGCATTGCATGGATGCTAAATAGGTTTCCGTGGACTCATTCTCAGAGCACGTATCGCGGCTCCGCTGGGTGCATTGCGGTCTAAAGCGGCAACGATCAAAACTCGCTGTTCGCCGTTTGCAAACTTACTGAACTTCACTGTACAATCAGTAGACAAACGCGTGGGACGCTCCCTGTTCGAGGGACAGGCAGAATGTGTGGCGAGGAAAAATCAAGTAAATCAACGAGAAATATCTTCCGAAAGGAAACGAAGTGCACGAGAAGAGCACCCGCCCGAAAGGTGCAGGAGACTAAGAGGTTCTGGCGGTACGGGATAGGAGGCAATTACAGAATGGTTGTTAGGTTGGGATAGACAAGCCCATTTTGTTCCGCGAGTAGAGAGGATACAAGCTCTGATGTTGGGCATGAGAATGTGGGGAAAAGTGGAGCTTTTGAGGGCGCGGTACACAGTTGTTCAAGAGCTGTTCACGATGGAATGACGAACACTGCGTTCAAACTAGCTTGAACGGGGTTCAAGCGAGGTTGGTGAGGAATTTCTGGTCAAAAGAAACATTTTGGAACATGTTACAAAAGCGGATGGATAAGACTCGTCCAAGAACCAATTTCCGTCAAGGTGACGAACCCGCCTACAACACTGCGAAAGCAATGGAAGTTGTGACTCCCGTAACAGTTTCGCTACATTCTTCACTCACGGGCGACAGCTACTTGGTGCGCGAAAAATCGTTTCGTCAATTATGTTGACCAGCGATGGTACAGAATATTTTTGCTGACGAACGAGTTGTTCAAAACAGCAGTCGTGTGTTCGTCAGCTGGCCGGTCAAGTAGCAACCTCCTTGACCAGCCTAGGTACAACTTTATCGTAGTAAACAGGGTAACCCTAAATTTGTGTTGTATGAAAAAGTCTTGAACAGCTCTTGAACAACTATGAGGGTCGTGACTTCCGGACTCCGGGGAGCCGATGGTTGGGTTCGGTTCGGTTGAGCTGGTGTCCATTGAGGGAGAACGGCAGGGTGAGGTGACGGGTAAGCTGGTAACAGGAGTTTTCGCTATCGTCAATAAGGAAGGTGCATTTCGATGCTGTTTTGGAGTTTTGTGAGTTTGCTTTGCTGGTGTTGATGATGTGGGGCTGGGCTCGCAAGAGATTCTCGTGACGTGGACGCGAAAGATCTTTGGCAAACACGAGTGGGATGTTATAGCGCGTCTGGATTGCCTCGCTTCAATACTAGCTCGTGCACCCAAAAATGTACACCAATTCAGGCCCTCAAAGATTCGTATCAAACATCAAAAGACTAACAGGGCAAATGCAAAGCTCGAAATGTTTATCATTTGCCAACCTGGTTTGCCAAACGCGAAGAAACAAAGAAAAAAAACAAGTTATATGAAGAGCCTGCTAATTTTTATGATATTCGCACATGCATTTTTTTTACCGTAAGCGCGTAGTCAGCAAAATCCATGGTTTTGTCACGTGGCTTTTCTTCTACTTCCTTCTTCTTGTCACTCAGTTAGTATATTAAGTCCCCAGGTCCAATTACGTCTTTTTGTTTTCTATGATTTGGAATGGTAAAATTATACTACTAACAGGATTGTAAAGTCGTCTAATTTAGTGAAGGGACACATCAGGCCCCTATATTGGTTTTGGGATAGGCTGATCCATCAGCCTCCCCCCTCCGACAAGGGCTGGGAGTTCAGCCTTCCCATCTCGAAATTTCATTGTTTTGTTTTGTTTTGTTTTGTTGTTTTTTTTTTTTTTCACTGATCAATCAGCCATGGTACGCTTTTGAAGGCCAATTTTTTTTTACACCAAAAATTTTACAAAAAAGTGGCATGACATGAGTGTTTAAGGTTAAATAGCACTTTAAGCATTGTCGTCATCACTCTCATCCACATCACAAGGTGCACCAGGAGCAGGCATGTCGTTATCCACTACCTCTTTTCGTTTAGCCTCTCCCACACACGGCTAGGCGTATCACCACCATGCGCCCTTGATGTGTTGAAGACCCTAAGCAGTACAGAAACACTGATGATCACCAGACTGAAGTGCCTTGGTGAATATATCAGCAGTGTTGGCCCGAGAGGCCACGTAAGCAAGACGAAGCTGACCACGCTGCTGCAACTCTCGAGCAAGGAAGCAACGCGGAGCGATGTGCTTCATCCTGTGCTCCAGTCTGTGCTCCTGACACAAGGCAATCATGGCCTTGTTGACTACGTACAGAACTGGAGGAGAACGAGGCGGCTCTCCCAAGTCGGTCAGCAGGTAGGTGAGCCAGCGTAACTCCTGTGCAGCCATGGCCCCTGCGTAGATCTCAGCCTCACAACTGGAGCTGAGAACAGAAGACGAGCGGGTAGACCGCCACGAAACAGAGCCGGAGCCAAGGCTGAAAGTGTAACCCTGTGACGACCGCTGCGTAGCCAAGTCGTCAGCCCAAGAAGCGTCTGCGTGACCAGTGAGGACAACTCGAGCCCGTCCTCCAAGCACGAGCCCCATACCCGACGTACTGCACAAGTAGCGCAACACCCTCTTAGCGGCATCCATGTGCTCCTTCCGGTGTCTCCCAGGAGCAACATAGCGTGCCAGAATGCTAAGAGGGTAGGCAAGGTCAGGTCGAGTGCAGGTCATCAGGTACATGAGGCAGCCCACAAGCTCTGGGTACGGACCACTCGGCTCTACGGACTCGTCCGAAGGTGGAGCTGAGAGCGAGTGACCGGAAGGCAGAGGAGTGGACTGTGGCAGAGGAGAACCGGAAGTCGAAGCGCTGAAGGACCTCGTGCATCATGTGTGATTGAGTCGGGGTGATGATGCTCAGTCCCGGGTGATCTGCAAGCCAAGATAGCTGCGCAGCTCACCCAGGTCTGTGCACGTGTGTCTCTTCTGCAGCTTCGACTTCACAAGGGCCAGTGCCTCAGTGTCAGCAGTGGCAATAACCAAGTCGTCGACATACACGAGGATGTAGAACGGCGGCAGCGAAGTGTCGGTGCGCAGAAACAGCGACGGGTCAGTAGTGGAAGGAGCAAACCCAAGAGCCGCAAGTGTCGTCCTCAGTGTGTCGTGCCACTCACGAGGCGCCTGGCGGAGACCGTAGACTGGCGGCCAGAGGCTCCACTGGGTACCTGCAGGAAACGACCCAGTGAAGCCAGGTGGGCGGCGCAGCGAGATCTCCTCGTGCAGAGTGCCTTGTAACAAAGTTGTGCTGAAGTCAAGAGAGTGAGGCTCGTAGTCACGCTAAGTGGCAACGTGCAGCAGCACCCCAAGAGTGGTCATCTTCGGGGTAGGGGAGAAGGTATGGAATAAGTCAACTCCCTGTCGCTGACTAAAGCCTCGTGCAACGTAATGAGCCTTGAAGACAAGCGGAGAACCCGGCAGCTGCTTTACCCTGAAAATCCACATGCCATCGACTATGTTCGCCCCAGGAGGGGGAACTGCGTCGACGTAAGTGCCTGTGGACTTCCAGGATGCCATCTCTGCGTCCATGGCTGTCTACCACTGAGAGGAGTAGGGACCCTCTATCGCCTCTGCGTAAGAGCGCGGGGTCGGGATGTCCAGTGCATCCGGGTCTCCCTCAGGTGCAAGCAGCATGGCCACGAGATGAGGTACTGTAGCAAGACACTCATGTCCTCCTGCGTATCCTCAAGGACGTCCGTGCTAAGAGCACAATCACCCCTGACGGACGGAGGACAGACAGGCTCAGACTCAGCAACAAGACTGGCGGCGTAGTCGAGACGACACGCAGCACCAAAGTCAACAAGTTCAACAACTAGGGCAGACGCAACAGTGGAGTCAAACGAAGGGTTGTTGATAACAGTGGCTAGGAGACGTGTGATAGTAGGGTTGGCAGCACGAACCAAGTTAGACTCAGGGTCCGAAACGTCTGGACAAGAGGAAGCAGGAGGAGACGAGAGGGGAACTCGCAATGGAACAGAGGAAGGACGAAGTGCCATACCGTGAGTGCCAGGGACAGGAGGAGGACGCGGACGAGGAACACGACGACGAGTGCGAACAGCGCGAACAAGCGAGGCAGGACAAGACTCAGGCGCACGACGCTCGGTAAGAGAGTGTGTATGCTCAGTGTAAGGAGAAGGAGCAGGCAGTGGGGAGTCTGGTTGTAACTGTGGCTGCGACTGGTCAGGCGGTGGACACAGTAGAGGTGGAGTAAGGCAAGTAGAAGACGGGAGACTAAGAAACTGGCGAAGTAGTGGAACGAAGTACGGTCGCGGCCGCACAGTGCCTCCAGCACCAGAACCGACAGCTCCAGCACCCCCAGAGCCAGCACCTCCAGCTCCAGGGCCCCCAGCTCTAGCGCCTGCAGCTCCAGGGTCTCCAGCTCCAGCGCCTCGTCTCCAGCTCCAGCGCCTGCAGCACCACCAGCTCCAGCAGCTCCAGTACCTCTAGTACAAGCACCTCCGGGACCAGCGGCTCCAGCACCTCCAGCACCTCGAGTACCAGCAGCACCTCCAGCACCGGCAGCTCCAGTACCTTCAGAAGGAGAACCTCCAGGACCAGCAGCTCCAGCACCTCCAGACCAGCAGCTCCAGCACCTCCAGCTCCAAGGTCTGTAGCTCCAGCGCCTGCAGCACCACCAGCTCCAGGAACTCCAGTACCTCCAGTACGAGCACTTCCGGGACCAGCAGCTCCAGCACCTCCAGGACCAGCAGCTCCAGTGCCTCCAGCTCCAGTGTCTTCAGCGGCATGCACCCCAGCTCCAGCAACGTCACTCCGAAGGCGGGTGTGCCGAGCAAACCATTCGCGCAGGTGCGGTGGTGAGAGAGACTCCCGCCGTGACGAGGCACCCGTAGGACCTCCAGCAGACACAGTACCACCAGGCTCAGCACCCCCGGACTCAGCACCCCCAGGCTCCACACCCTCAGGCTCAGCACCCCCAGGCTCCACACTTTCAGGCTCAGCACCCCCAGGCTCCGCACGCTCAGGCTCAGCACCCCCAGGCTCCGCACCCTCAGACTCAGCAACTCCAGGCTCAGCACCCCCAGGCTCTGCACGCTCAGGCTCAGCACCCCCAGACGCAGCACCCCTAGCAGCACCACCCCCAGCAGCACCAGAGTCGACAGCGACCTCGACAGGC